AATCAATGCCTTTCTAAACTGCCAACTATGTAGTGTAATGGAATGTAGTGAGGGGCAACACGCTGGATAATCTTTCATTTGAAAATATACAAATTTATTATGCCACACTGACAAAGTCGGTCTACGTACAGTAAATCAAGCCAGATATAAAGGACTGATCATGAAGGACATTAACAATTTTGCATTTGGAGCAACACCAGGAAGGTTGCTTTGGTCCAGATCCCTGTTCTTTAATACTGGGTATCTCCTATAATGGGTCTGATCAAATACTTATATTTCCCTAAATCTCGATTAAATGTTGTTTAAAATAACATCGACACAAAACAAGAGTATTACTATTTTTATGCCAACAGACTTCTTACTATCTAAACCAGGCTGTCTTTGGCACTTTCAACACACTGCATGACGTGAATCATCATATTCACTATATACTGTGTCACTATATGTGATTTGTCTGATGTAGTGATTTGTTTGTCTGTAAATCTTGTATTGTATTCTTATCAGTCATTTATGTACGTCATCGCTTTCTGATCAAGTGTTGATGCTTTTATACAACCTTTCTTTCAAATAGTCAACTTTCAGGCACTGTAATAATGCAGAGCTGACTTCAAGTAACTTTTTACTAGCAGGTTGCACTTAAGAAATATGAAACCCTTGCATGAATGATTTCAATGCAATGCCAGCAGCCTTCCAATCACAAAACATCCCATCTGCCCAATATTCCAAGTCTGCCAATAATAAATATTGGCTGTTTACCAAATATAAAATTCAAATCTGCAAGCGATAACTTATCCCTTTCTTCTTCACTGATTTTTAAAGCACACTGTGGCTATAGGACACAGCAGTGATACACACTGCAATGACATGAGGCCTCAGTTTAGTGCCTCAGAGCTATAATTAAATTGTTCTCCTTTAGGGCAAGTGACTAACACTACTGTCAGACTCTTGTCATGTTGTGAGGACTGGGTGTTCACACAAACCTTATAAAGAAAATTGTTTTATGTGCAACATGTAACTAAATGCCATCTGCTCATTCAGACTTCAGACATACATGTTTTCCACTGACCACTGCTTCAATGAATTCCCAGCTGACTTTCAGCAATTTGGCTGAGTTGTGTTGATGGTAATGACAGGGGGAGGGGTTGGTTTGAATGAAGTTTGTGGATAGATGCACATAGATTTACAGTCGCACATTCTGCTGATTCCCTGTACAGCACCACTGGTCGATACACTGGGAGTGGTGCTGGTGCTTTTGCCAATGGCTGAATTGACTTTTAGTCTGCACTTTACCCATCTTTTTCTGTACATGACACATCTGCAAAATGTAAAAAAAAAAAAAAAAAAACTCAAAACGTTTTTATGAAGACCCCCTTCTCAGCCCCACATAAAACACCTCTGTTACTGTTGTACAGTATGATCTGTTTAGCTCAGTGGAGCTATTTTAAACATGATTACAGATGATCACACAGTGACATCATACTCGTTAACCTACATCTACTTTGGCTGAAGTCATTATCTGGCTTGTTACTAAATATAAAAACTAAAATGCTTGGCAGGATGTCAGATAACATTTAAACTTTTGTAACAGCCCTGCCCTATTCCAGTTCAGCTAATCTACTCACTGATCAGACATTATTTACTCCCAGTGCATGAATCACCACAAAGCCCCAAAAGCCATGCCTTACTGAGCTGAACATGCTGATTTGAAAACAAGTGCAACATGCCTCCTAACCCTTCTGTAATGACCTCTAGAGTATTTTAGTCTCTCAAAACCTCCTGCCTTTGGAGCCCTGGGAGAAAACTCTTCTTCCAAAGATGAAGCGTGCACATCTGGAGGAGAGTGGAGCAGAGTTGCTGTAGCATGTGTTAGCTCCCCACCCTCTCCCAACATAAAATCTAAAAATCTCAGTGGGGGATCCGAATGCTAAGAGCAAAGATCTTATTTGCTGTTTGATGAGATGATTTGATGCAAACTACTTGAGTGGTTTAGATTTAGCAGCAACATTTGTTGTTTTTCTCCCATACTCACAAACATTTGAATTATTGTAGAAAGAAAAATGTCTTCAATGCAAGCCTGAAGGAAGGTCAAGCAGAAAACATAGAGGCTTAGCCTGATAAAATCCCAGGCTTCTTTAAAGGATTAACTGGAGATCCCAAGGGTTTTTATTAAACAGGTATGCAAAGTGTCTCTAAGCACCCACATTTTGTCATAAAAACAAGTTGTTGACAAATACATTTACTCAAGGTGACATAAAATAGATCAAGCGATGACAAACATGCTACTTTGTACCACATATGACTAATGACTGCTAGTTATTGGCTGCTTAAAATTATCCACCAAGTCTGAGTGGCAGAACGAAAAAGGGGAATTGCAAGCAATCTTGCAGCATCACATCGCTGCCTGATTGAATGCTATTGATTGACTTTAGTGTTGATTTTGCTCTATGTAGACTACACCATACAAAAAGCAATTACAAAAAGCATTTGGAAAGTAGTCACTATTACACCAATTGAATAGTTGGATTCCATGAAGCTGTACAATTATCTCAAAGATGGAGCATAACAGTTACTCCTGCTTGTCAGTAACTATATTAGATTAAACATCAAGTCAAAAATGGACAAAACCATCAAAAACATACTTAGTAAAATAGAATAATAATAACATAAAATACAGCCACTAGACTATTATTGTGGGTTCCAAATTGGCATTTACCCTCAAGACACATACTGAACATCATGTATTTTCACAAATACAGCATGTAGTCCATCGCTTACATGAGGTAACTGTAAAGGTTCTTGTTCACAGGCAGCTTCTACAACAATCAAGCATCTTTGTTTTTAACAAAGGATCAGAACTATTCAGACCTTTCACTTGAGTTTTACTTTGGTAAAACACTCCATTACAAGTCCTGCATTCAAAATCCTACTCATGTGTTGAGTCAAGTGTCAGCTAAATGGACTAAATGTCTCCTGGGCCTGATATTATAGCTAACATTATTAGATTATTACTGATGCATTCATGTGTATGCAGCATTTTACTGTTGTAGTTGCTCAATGTGGGGCTAGTGAATAATGAAGAATAATGAAGCAAGAAAAGACAAAAACTAGGTTTGGCTATTTAAAAAAAACATTTGCACAATATTTCTGTCTGAAATATAGCAGAAAAATACATGTTATACTATAAAGTAGCATAAAAAGGAAGCCATGTACAGTACCTGAGTAAATGTACTTAGTTACATCCACCACTGGGATCACGAATGGTGATAGTTTTATGGGAATTTTGTAAACTCTTACTGTCACAGGTATATCTGTATAAAGGCCCATATATAGGTGAGTATTACAAACAAGCTGAGGTTACAAATGCTGCAGTATGTGGCAAAGGTTCACAACATATACTTGTCAATATCATAATAAAACCTAAAGAAATGAACAAACTTGCCAGAACCCGAGTTACACTGTGAGCCCAGATTCAGATGCAAAGGATGTTTGAGCTCCTCTGGCCCCGTATCACACTAATGCAACATGAGAGTATCTGCATCACATCATGATGTTGAGCTGCATGCAATTATTCTTTGGGATACATTTATTTTCATAATCCAATTAGTTTTGACTCCAAGATAAGGTTTTTTTTTCTCTGATACAAATGTGATTTATCCTGTTTAGGGGATTATGTCTGGCCTATGAGAACCTAGCTAAATAAGAGTCAGAACTGTTTATCTATTCTTGTTCTTTTAGCTGAAACAAGATTCTCAAGCATGACTAAGCTGTGTTTATAATATTATACCCCCCATCTACTCCAAATAAGAGTATTCATGACACATGAATGCAGGGGGTGCCCATTACAGACTGCCAGGGAGCATGCACCAGCAGGACTCTTCTCCAACACCCTCTTCTACATTAAGTCCCCTGGCCACCCACATGCACCCACACACATGTCCAACATCCAATTAATTAGTCTGAATGAGTGATGTGTCTTTGGCTCAGTCACATGACCATTCACCCTCAGCCTCTGTGTGCTTTTTGCACACCAGGAACCCAGATTGATTATTGGTTACTGAGTTTAGCTTGAACACATTGTGGCTTACTTTGATCTGCCCCACAACAGGATGTCACACCAATCTGAAAGTCAGCAAGCAAAACATCCATTAAACACAACAACTACATCCTGGATGCAGGGAAGAGCAAGCTTTACCCTGAAGGTAGTTCAAGGATGGACAACAGAGAGAAAATATGTATAGGGATAAAGCTGTATAATCCTCAATAGGTGAAGAATTGTACTTAAATAAAAAATACACAAGTCCTGCATTCCAAATCGGACCTGAGTGAGAGTGCAAAATTAAAAGTGAAATGAACTTAAAGTATCAAAGGTAAACTAATTCATTATGCAGAATAATCATTGGCAGAATAACACGTTATATTTTATAATTGAATTATAATTATTGATGCATGAATGTGTGAGATAGTATAGGAGATGAACCAACAGCCAGGCAGGCTAGCTGACAAACAGTCAGACCAACAGGCAGACAGGTCGGTAGGGAGAAATCATAACCAGTCAATGGATCATAATGGGAATGCTTTACAGCCATATGTAGGTGGGCCTAATGATGTTTTGCTTATTGCAAGCACTGCTGATGCTTTGCTAGAATCTCCTGATTCATTTAGACTGGTCTCTTATTGCACTCGTGTGTGTGCGTGTGCGTCATTTTCTCTCTGCAAAAATTCATGTCAGAGACAGAGGATATTTAACTTAGCATCTCATTTTCTTTTCTACTCTTAATTCCAACTGAGCACTGCAGATGGAGGAGGGGGAGAGAGGGGGAGAATGCGTGTAGGGGGGAGAACTACCTCAACTTTCCTGTGCAGCCCCTCCTTCGTCTGATTTAACACTCTCAAATAATGGAATTTAGTACAAATCGATGGGATACGAGGATATGTTCAAACCATTTCCTTGTTCTTTGTTCTCCCAGTTGTAGATCTGTTTTTGAAAGGCTTTCTTTTTATCTCGTCACAAAAACAGAAAACGTCACGCACACATGCGCATATAGGGTGCCATACTGACGCATCGTTTGTTGTATAGTCAACTGTTTCTCACTGGACTGAGGCATGCCTGTGGCGGATAATTGTTTTTACCGCATTCAACAGTGTTTTCAAAGCAAGGGGCGAAAGCCAAGGCTGTAACAGTGGAGGCTTGTAGCACCAACGGGGAGAGGTCCGCTAAATACCGTTAATCCTCTAAGAATGGGGGGGGCAATCCAAGGCATTGAACTGAGGTATCACGATTCTAGTGTGAAATCTAACCAGTGTTTTCGACGATGCCGACTTGGACACTTTTACCATGGAGCTGCAAGCTTTAAGAGTGAAAACAAGAAATTACACTAGGAGACTCGTTTGGTGGCAGGAAGCTATTTTTGCGCACCTGGAGAGAAATAACCAACACATGGAAAGCTGTAAAGTGTGATTTAAAAAAAAATCTCGCCCCTGGACTATGTGGATTGATTTTTTTTCAGTCTCTTCTCAGCATTCCCTCAGTCAGTCGACGGATTTTTGCCATTACAGCTCAGTAGAGGGTGTCAGATCTTTCTTTCACCGCGCTAGGATGAACACAGTCTCCGCGTTCCTCTTTTTGTGATTTCCGAATCGCAACAGTGGGGCGAAAAACGGCGCAAACGAACGAGGCAAAACACCGAAGGATGTGAGGGGGGATGCGGGTGTTTTGCAGCGGTGGGACCGCCTCTACAGCTCCAGCGCAGGGTGTGAATTAAGCACCAAGGGAGAAGGAACAGCTCCCGACGCCGCAGCACGCAGCACGACTGGGGGAAAGAAAAAGAGCACGGATCTGTTCGTTTTTTCTGCCAAGGTCAGTCTTAAACGAACTGAAAAAGCCAAAGCATGTGTTGGACTGTACTGCCGCTAGCTGCTTTTGATTTTTATCAGAGGCTCTGACGATTCAGTCGCTTTGAAAGAGACGTTTATGTGGTCATTTTCAAACTGGAAGACTGGGCACAAGAGCAGGTTAGATGCAGCATGGATCTGTTATAAAGACTGCCTTATCGTCTCCCTAAATGTCTATATCTCCTTTTTTTCGTGTTGATGCAGACGAAATTCACAGCTCGTATGTCTTGAAACCAGGAATGAATTTTTCACGTTGAAAAATGCTGCTTTGGATTGTTCTGCTGAATGCGGCTCTTTGTGTTGCTAGTGAAAATGTTACAAGGGACGTTTGTAAGGAGCAGATATGCTCTTGTAACGAGATAGAGGGAGATCTTCACATAGACTGCGAAAAAAGGAGCTTCACCACTCTGCAGCATTTGACTGGCCCGAGCTCGCAGTTTTACCACTTGCTTTTGCACGGGAATTCTCTATCCAGGCTTTTCCCCAACGAGTTTGCCAACTTTTACAATGCTGTGAGCTTGCATTTGGAAAACAATGGGTTGCACGACATTGTCCCCGGCGCCTTTCTGGGATTGCAGCTAGTGAAAAGGCTGCACATCAATAACAATAAGATAAGATCATTCAGGAAGAGTACATTTCTGGGTTTAGACGACTTGGAATATCTCCAAGCTGATTTCAATCTACTAAGGGATATTGACCCCGTTGTTTTCAGGGACCTAAATAAACTTGAAGTGTTAATACTTAATGACAACCTCATCAGTGCGCTACCTTTAAATGTATTTCAACATGTGCCCATTACGCATCTCGACCTGCGGGGAAACCGAATCAAAACGTTGCCTTATGAGGGGATCCTTGAACAAATACCGGGCATTGCGGAGGTTTTGCTGGAGGACAACCCGTGGGACTGTAACTGCGACCTGGTTTCTCTTAAGGAATGGCTGGAGAACATACCGCATAACGCGCTTATTGGAAGGGTGATATGTGAGGCGCCCACCAGGCTGCAAGGGAGCGACTTAAACGAGACGTCAGAGGAGGATCTGTGCCCTTCGCAGAGCGGCGGCGTGGACGGCAGCCTGGTCGCCCCTCCCACCCAGGAGGAGACCTCGGAGCCTGTGGCCCAGGGCACGCGTCCTACGACTTTCAAGCCCAGCGGTGACGCCAGTGGGCCCCCGACGGCCGGCGGCCACGGACCCAAGAGCCGTTCCAAATCTCGAGAGAACTGGCAGCTGAAAACTAAGCCCACTCCAGTGGTGACAGGTGTGAACGGGGACAGAGAGCAGCTGCACAACATGACGTGCCCCCAGCCGTGCAACTGCAAGCTGGTAGGGTCCAGACAAGGGCTCGGGGTCAACTGTGAGGGCAAAAAGATCGAGAGCTTGTCCAACCTCAAACCCAAGCCCTTGGCCGCCCACGAACTGAACATGAGAGATAACAACATACACGCAGTGAAAAAGAACCAGCTACTCGGCTACTTCAGTCTCAACCTGCTTGATCTGGGCGGAAACAACATCAAGGTGATTGACAACGGCACTTTCCAAAACCAGAGCGAACTAAGATGGCTCTATATGGATAAGAACTATCTGGATACGCTCATAGCAGAGATGTTTATGGGCCTTGTGAATCTGGAATATCTCAGTTTGGAATACAACGACATCCAGCTGATAGTGGCAGGTGCATTCAGCCCCATGCCAAATCTGAGGGTTCTGTTCCTCAATAACAATTTGCTCAAATCTTTGCCCGTGGATGCTTTCCTTGGGATTTCTTTATCAAAAATTAGCCTGCATAATAATTATTTCCCATATCTCCCTGTAGCTGGCGTCTTAGACCAGCTCAATTCAATCATACAGATCGATTTGCACGGGAATCCGTGGGACTGCTCGTGCAACATCGTGCCCTTCAAGCAGTGGACGGAGAAGCTCGGGGCCGATGTGATAGTGAGTGACCTCAAGTGCGAGTCCCCTGAAGAGTTCTGGAAACGTGATTTCCGCTACGTCCGGAACGACCTCATGTGCCCCAAACTCTATGACAGAATCTCGCCCACCTCCCTGTCCAAAAACAGCACTTTCACCCTGGACTCGGGGACGCGCTCGAACTCTTATTTGGAGCCCAACAGGGTATCCATCTCAGTGCTCGTCCCCGGGTTGCTCTTGGTGTTTGTCACATCCGCTTTCACTGTTGTAGGAATGCTTGTGTTTATTTTGCGGAATCGAAAGAGGTCAAAGCGGAGGGACGGCAACTCTTCCGCTTCGGAAATCAATTCCTTACAGACAGTGTGTGACTCCTCTTATTGGCACAGCGGGCCTTATCACGCAGACGGGGGCGCGCACCGGGGCTTTGACTGCAGCACGCACCTCTCCACGACAAACGATGCGTAAAGGGACTCTAGTACAACAAACCTATACCAGACTGGATTACAGTCACACAGACTGACAAATGACTACGACGGCAAGAATCATCTGCGTTTGTTTGTCACAGTCGAACACAGACTTCTTTATGTATTGTTTTCTCCAGCTGAACCAAGTAAGTCAGTCTGCTGCTGCACAGGCCCCACTCTAATATATGTATATGCCAAGCCCCCTGGCTAAACCACCCTCCCTCCCTCCTCCTCCCAGTTCTGCTAATTGCCGCAATCGGACTACGGATCTGTATGAAAAAGAAAAGAGGGAGGAAAGGAGAGCGAGGGAGAAGGCGTGTGTGTGTGTGTGTATGAGAGAGAGAGAGAATGAGAGACCGAGGACCCGGGGAATGGTGCACGAACGCATGAATGTAAATGTAAATACTCGGACCGATGTATCATAATCTGCATGATGATATTTCGCATGGTTTCAACACACAGGACGGCGAGGAACCATAACCACCATTAACCAACAAAGAAGCAAACTCGACCCTTTCATGTTATATCAATATGACGACTATATAGATATTAAGAATTATATATGACTATTACAAAGTGCCATTTCTCTATTTTTTGTGAACCTACAGTTAGGATTTGTATTTGTTGTTTTAAACTTGTTTGGAGAAAAGAGAAAAAATCACTAATGGATATTGATGACTATCTGAAAGGAGTGATGGAAGTGAAGCTGTCAGTGCATGTTATTTTCTGTTTGTTATCATTTGGTTGTCGATAAATATTGGGGTTATTTATACCGTACTAGATGGTGCAGATTAAATCCATGTCTGCGCAGTCATCATCTCCTTTATGAATGTAAACTGTGTTATTTTATGGTGTGCCAATTGTTGACTTTCAGATATTCAGACATGCAGATGAGCATGACCAATTAACGTCACTCAGATGCTTATGCTGCAAAGTTAATGTAGCTAAAATAACAGTTCTGTGGTTTTATGTGTTAATGAATATAGCCTGCTTTGGGAGAGAGGAAAAAAATCAACCAGTCGTTTAAATGGGGGGTTTATACCATCATATTTTTTCAACAATTGAAAAAGAATTGTTTTCACTAAAGCTATGTAGGTATAATTCGATCTATGTTAACAGCGCAGGTAGACTGATATAGACTAGAATGCTTTTTTAATGTCAGAAAAAAAGTATTCCTCCACAAAAAAGCTTATGGCTATGATTCACTTTCATCATATTGTGAGCTTTTGTAAAGCCATCTAATCTTGTCCAAATAAGAGAACTGAAACTCACTGTACTTACTACAAAATGTGCTTGAAATGGGTTGTTTTTTGAGGGATGATTCCTGCTTTCTAAAAAATGGCCCCATCCTGAGGTCTTGACTTAGCCAGTGGCCAGTGCATAGCGATATAGGAGGTGGGTAGTAAAAGGGGCACACACTGCAGAGGTAATTAAATATCTGCCTTTTCAGTTCATCATTTTGAATGTGAAATATTCTTCTTGGCGGGGTCGCATGGTGTTTGAGGGTTCATGAAAACATTGCCATGACTTGAATACCTGTTTTGCAGAGCTCGGCTGTTGGGTCTGCTGCTTAGCTTATACTGCTTTAAGTGAACTTGGATTTGGAAAAGAGGGACATTCAAATTTAAGGCATACTTCCAAAGTTCTCTGCAGTGCTAAAAGGGATGTGAGGAATGTGCAATTAGCATTTATGTTTATTTTTATGTTTTAATTACGATGTGCAGTTTCAGTGCTGGTGACTTACTTTGACTTTGCCAATTGATTTTCTTTAAAACCCGCTCTAAGATTCCAAATTTTAAGTTTTCAACATAATTTGGCAAAAATCTACCCAAGATGCCATGGCCATGATGAAAGTGTACAGAATTCATGTAAGATGGGCTTACACCCCCTAACTCCCCCTCATCCACCCCCTTTCTCCCTCCAATAGGCCTACAGTATTTCCCCCAGTATGCAGACTAGCGATGTTCATGGTGCTGAATCCTCACCCTTTGCTTTCTTTGTCTGCCTGTCCCTTTCCCTTGTGTGCATGTGCACAGGCATGCAACCCCAGATGTGTGAGGACAAATGAGAGTGAGAGAGATTGTGTGACTACTGGCATGTATGTGTG